GTCTCGACGTGATGATCGTGATAGATCCAGGACTCGGCGCAGACGTGATCGGAGTACTTCTCCTCAGGCTCGTAAAGCACACCGACGTGAACACAATGACCACCACGTCTCGGAAGGCATGGATTGGAACAACCTGGTATCTTGGCAACACAATTCCGGCTACAACTCTGCCAACAATTTCCCGATGATGCCCACCAATTTTCAATCGACTCATAGTCCCACACAGCAATTCCAACATCCAGCAATCAACTACATGATGCCGATCCCTCCAGACCCCACGCCAACGAAGTTCATGCCACCCGTGATGCCACCACCGGTCACTACCCCGCAACCTACACCGCCACCTGGACCTCCTGCGGCTCTACCGGTTCGTCCTCAGAAAGCCTGGCTTACACCATCGCCTGACTGGACACCTGGAGAAGGGCATGTTTGATGTCAATCAGCTCTACAACTTCAGCCTGCCCATGACCGTTGCCAACACTCCGCATGGCAACCTGCGCGACATGTCAGGCATGGATATTCGTGACGTTCGCCTGGTTCAGGTTATTCATGGGGGCCTCACCAACTGGCTGCTCCGACCGTTCGCTCACGGCAGATTCGTGACATGGGAAGGCTTTCGCACTCGCACCGAGGCCTTACTTTGGAGTACCTGTTCCAAACTACTACGACGATCACAGTCGATCAACCTGCTCACCCTGGAAAAGGACCTTGCCAACTCGCTGGGTCTCAACATCGATGACTTCAATCAGCGGATCAAGGTTCATGACCATTTGGCCAGCTTGGTACTTCAATTTCTTCAGCAACACCACGCTTCTCTCACACCTTCCACCCAGACAGATGACATGGTCAAGAAGTACAATGATCTAAATCGTGCGCATGAGCTGCTCCAGGCTCAGTATTCAGCATCGCTGCGCGCTTCGACCTCTCCCACGATGGCAAGCCAGAAAGATGATGCAGAGTTGGTTACACCGCCACCGGTCAACCACACACAATCCTCGTCACCTACCAGCTCCCTCCCTACAGTCAGCGCAGCGGCCCTTGATGGCAAGTCGTTTGATAGCGCGGTGCAACCCCGGATCATTCAGTCTCTTCACGGAGTGTCTTCACCGCCGTCCAAGCCGGCGGCGTCACAATTGCTCACCATGCGCAGCACGCCGGAAGAAGTTGTCAAGTACTACACATGGACCAGTGACCAGCCACGCCTTTATCTCAAGCAATCGCCCACAACCACGACTTTGACGTCACTGGTCAAGTGGGCCAATCACCCGTCCCGGCTCAACGGCAACAAGTCATTAGATTCCATGGCGACGCAGCTCCTTCAAGCGCGTCAACGCATGCCGAAAGGCGACGCACCTACTCTCGGGGCGATGGCGGCTTCGTGGGGACTGGAGCCCGGCTATCTCACCAAGCTCACTGAGAAGGCATTGAGTCACCTCATCGTGACCGCTCGCCTACTCAGCTGATGAGCAGGCATCTTAACGACCTTCGTTCTCTTATGAGCCCGGAGCGGCAACCGTGTCACGGATGAGTCAAGGTTAAAACTCGTCCGTCATCTTTTGCGTTGCATCAGTTTGATCTTGTGCTTGGTTGTGCTTGCATTGCCTTGTGCGTGATTGTCTGTGCAGCTTGTATCCATGTCGCCGCCTTATGGTAGATTTCATTGGTTGCATTTTCACCATGTTGGATGAGCTTCGCCGCTGTGGAATCTATGATGATGTTGCACAATGGCAGTCTCTGGGCAACTTTTTACACTCGTTGACCATGTTCTCTACGTGCTGGCAATACTGCTTCCCTGGACTACCACCACCGTCGATACCAGCTGATGAGTACGAATCAATCACACAACTACCGTGGTTGGGCCTCATTCTGGAAGTCTTAGTTGTGGTCCGGATTGCCCTTCAGATTCCGAATCACGCTATGTCACACTCTCAACACACTGTGGCCAACAGGTATGAGATTCATAGATGTCGGTGCACTGCCTATTTATTGATCAGTTTCTTACAACGTCTCATTTCCCAAGATCATGGCTACTTTCCGCCGTTCTTTGAAGTCCTTCACTTCTACAAGGCTTCTCTCTTGTGTGAAATTATGCACTCCACTTTTGCCGACACGCGACATCTTCGCTCATTGCGGGCACGATTTCCGGACCTCTATGACTTCATCACGATCCAGGTCATCATCAACAACCGTGCGTCTACATCCGACTTTCCCCATGGCACACACCTTACTACGTTGGTGCGACTGATCAGGATGTTCTACGACGTGAACACTCACGCAGTCGCAAATTTCTACAACTACTTCGGGGACGTCATGCCTTCTTCGAACCCGCGCTTCACTACTGGAAGCGATCCAATACTTACTGGCTCTTCTGTGCTGTTCCGGTTGAGATCAAACTTCCCGTTTCCTCGGTTTGGGTCCAGGAAAGCAAATGGCAATACCTGCTACGCCCGCATTTGAATGCACCCTGGGTACACAGACTTCTGCGAAAGGTTTCCGGGAA